CACCCAAGTGCCCCGAGTGCGGCAAGAGCTTCCTGAGCAACGTGGCCATGACCATCCACATCCGGACCCACACCGGGGAGCGCCCCTTCAAGTGCCACCTCTGCCCCAAGGGCTTCCCCTCCCGGGGGGACCTCAAGCGCCACATCAAGACCCACCTGCGCAGGAAGGACCCTCCCAACCCGAGCTCCCTCCCCAAGACCAGGAAGTGTCTCACCGCAAAGCTGCAGCTGCTGCGCCAACTGGGGGTGAGCCCGGGGCCGAAGAAGCCCCACGGCTGCGCCCAGTGCGGGAAGAGCTTCAACAAGAAGCAGGACCTGCGCAAGCACCAGGGGACCCACTCAGCGGAGCGGCCCTTCACCTGCCTGGAGTGCGGGCGCAGCTTCCGGCTGAAGCAGATCCTGGTGGCCCACATGAAGGTGCACGTCGGGGAGCGGCCCTTCGCCTGCCAGCAGTGCGGGAAGCGCTTCAGCCAGAAGCACCACGTGGAGAGCCACCAGCGGGTGCACACGGGGGAGAAGCCCTTCTCGTGCACCACGTGCGGGAAGCGCTACGCCCAGAAGCAGCCCCTGATCAGCCACCTGCGCGTGCACACCGGCGAGCGGCCCTACGGCTGTGCTGACTGTGGGAAGTCCTTCCGGAACCAGGCCACGCTGACCATCCACCACCGCATGCACACGGGCGAGCGCCCCTACCGCTGCCTCCTGTGCAGCAAGACCTGCAGCCAGCTGCAGCACCTCAAGAGCCACCAGCGGGTGCACCGCGGGGAGCAGCACCTGCTTGCAGCCGGGGACAGCAAGGCCCTCGCCCTCAAGAGGGCCCGCGAGATGGAGGAGAAGCCGTACCAGTGCCCCAGGTGCGAGAAGCGCTTCCGGGACGAGGAGATCATGCAGGCCCACCTCAGGACCCACGAGGAGCGGAAGGGGCTCAGGTGCGGGGCGAGCCCCAAGCCGGATCCACCGCTTCCCGTCCAGCCAAAAAGGCCCCCGCCGGAATCCGACTCTGTCGGCAAAGGGGCAGGAGCAAAGGGGCAGGCGGCCCCTGCCCTCGCCCGCTCTGGCGCACCGGCTGGAAAGAGAGCATTCGCGTGCGCTGAGTGCAGCAGGAGGTTTTCGCAGGCCAAGTACCTCACCTTGCATCGGAGGAGCCATAGATGAGGAGGCCGCTTCCGCACTGAAGGAGAACCGGGATCGGAACCCTCCGTCGGGCTCAAGCGCAGGCGGGCCCTCGGGGGCCACCACAGCTGTCCTCTGACCATGGGAGGGAGAAAGTGTGGAGGGGCAGAAGGAGAAGGCAGGAAGGGCCTTGCTTTTGCGCAATCTGAAGAAATCAGACTGTCCCGAGGGCATTTCTCGTTGTTCCACCCCTTTATGGCCAGGCCAGGACGCAGCGAGGGAGAACTTCCAGTCCTCAAAAAAAGAAAAACCCGTTTCAGTCCGGCAGCACTGGCGGCCCCTGCCAAGAGCGAAGGGCTGCGGGGTGTAAAGCCAGGTTCTGTCCCTGAGTCACAGCCCTTGCCAGGTTCAGAGGCAGGAGAGCCCGAGGCCAGGTCGGGCCAGCACCCAGGAAGCTCACCAGCCAGGAGGTGGCCCAGCAGGTGCCATTGGCGGGATCCTGATCGTGAAAGGCCATCAAGACCGGGAGCCCTGGATAGCACGGCTCTCTATCAGTTTGTCCCTTCCTTTGAAGCAGCGTTTCTCAACCTTGGCCCCTTTAAGATCTGCGGACTTCAACTCCCAGAATTCCCCAGCCAGCATTGAATTTTGGGAGTTGGAGTCCACAAATCCTAAAGCGGCTAGGGTTGAGAAACCCTCATTTAAACCATCTGAGCTGATGCACATCGTGATCTCAGCAGATTACGCTGCATCGGGCAGGGAAACCGCGGTGGAGTCTGATCCCTGGGTCCCTTCCAGCTCTACGACACGTCCTTCATGCCATGCATGACTGTGTATACCCCTCTCGTCACAGAATTTGCAAGGGGGGGAAATCCCTCGCTCAGGGCCTGGTAATGTTCTGTCAGCTGCTGCATTGCGGAAACATGGGGCTGACTTGAATCCGAGGCAATCTGACCAAATCAGTATTTCCTGCCTATTATGTATGAACGATAGCTGGATTTTATAGGTGTTCTTTGCTCACAATGCTCTGGATGGTGGTTGGGTTGGGGCTACTATGAGAAATGAGTGTGGAGCTTCCCAGTTAAGGTTTGCAAACACGGAAGGCAAATGGCAAAGATCTGTTTGATATTGGGGGGGGGGGAAGAGCTCAGAGACAATGAATTTCATTGTGTTTGGAGCCAATCTTTTGCTGACTTGCCTTGAACAAAAAAGCAGCTATGCCGGTAATTGAAAATGATTGTAATACGATAAAAACATGGAATGGTTCCTGTCTCATTGTCAGATCGTAGCATGAAACAGAAGGTCTGCTTTGATTCATGAAGAATTTCCTGCACCATTTAGTTTAAAACTAACCCATCTGAGAACTCCTGGTCAAACACCAGATCTCTTCACTGCAAAGAACACAGTGAGCATCAGTTTCAGACAGGGAATGGCCATAAACCATAAACAGTTTATTGCTTATTCAAACAATAAATAGCAAACTCGCTGGGGACTAGAGGCTGGACTGTATGTTGAAACTTTGAACAGTCCAGAAAATGGGTCCTTAACCTTTATAATAACAAGCCCAACAGACAGATGATAAAAATAATGCCCACTTTGTCCCTGGAACTGGAATCTGCATGTTTCCGAATCTTCTGTCTGAGAGCCACAACCTTCATCTCCCTGTAATTGGTAGGCGATGTTCTGCCGGGGTCACGACGGGACTGGAGCAGATGGAGGCGTCGCTCGCGTCAGCAGACAGGGACCTGTCTTGGTCTCCCCAACATCCCTGCGCTCGTGGTGGGTTTCCATCCTTAATCCATCCCCCACAGGCGTCTTTTCACTCCCTTTTGCATAGACCTTCTGGCCGCCCTCAGCCCCCCACAGGACTTCGTACCCAGAGACCCCTCCTCTCTTGGCCCTTGGCAGGACTTCAAGAAACGCGATGGGCTTTTTCCCACTCATTTGGAGACGGGAGGAAAAAAATCGGGCTATAAATTTGGTCTCCGCATTTTCCGGGGGGGGGGCGGCACTCTTTTGTACTCAGGTCTGCCATCTGGGGTCCCAGTGGGGGGGCAGGGAAATGTCATCTGTGCTCGCAGGTGCCCGGCAGAGGAGGATGCACTTCCTTGGTCACCGTGGTCTGTCTTCCCGTTGGCGCCGACAGCAGGACTTTCCTCCTTGCGAGAGCCGGCCAGAGGCCACCCCGTGAGGAGGCCCCCCAAGACCTCTGGAGCTTGAGGGGGGCTGCACTGGGGAGGAGCAGGGGGCTCTTGGCTTTGAAGCAGGGCAGGACCTGGGCTTCTGGTCAGCCTCAGGAGAGTCTGGGGGTGGACAGGCAATGGGCAGCTGGGCAGAGAGGGCTGCTCTTGGGGTGGGGGGGCAGCCCCCGGGAGGCAGAGAACAGCCGAATGTCCACCCGGACTTGGCAGAAGGAAGCCCTGCGCTGCTCCCATGGCCCCCCCCCCCGGCAATCCAAGTTTCACTGTCCCACATTGCACTCTGCCTCCCCAGCTCCCTCCCTCCCTCCCTCCTGCAAGATTCTGGAGGCTCCCGAGGAGCCTCAGTGGCTAGGTGGGGTCAGGTCAATGTTTTCTGCTTGTCCATCACCAGAAGGGGCATCTCTTGATTGCAGGAATGGAAATATCCTCTAGGCACTTTTGGCCTACCACGAATGCATGGCCACATCCAGGTTTGGAGGCTCCACAAATTGCTGTTTTCCATCTTCAGCTGCCCCAAGCCTTCCGGTCTAGCCCCATCTCCAGCTATGGTTGGCCACAGCACTGGCACGAACCCTTCCCCCCAGCAGCTGTTTGCTGCCCTGTGTGGCCCTTTCTCCCAGTGGGCTCCCTTCTTAGGTGGTGGGGGATTTGAGGAACTGCTCCCAGCATCCCCCCAGCCAAGGAGCCTTCCAGCTCAGCTGGTTGGATGCATCTAGAGGGTGGGAGGCCACACATCAAAGGGTGCCACTTCTAAGCTTCCTTTATGCTGGGAAAAATATCTGCAGGTTATCAATACCAGCAGAATTGAGAAATCTCTGGTTTTAAGGAGAGAGATATGGTTAGTCTGAATAAAACAAACAAGAAAGCTTTTTGAGGCCCTGTTCTGATTTGCACTTAACCTGGATACAATAACAGCATGTTGCCTCCTTGTCCTCATGAGACAAGCAAGAGCCCCTTAGTGGTATTTCCCCTCTTATTCCAACATCATCCAAGGGCAGTGTGAAGTGTGCACGATCTGTTATGATTCACCACCTGTTTCCTTGGAGATGAGACCAGTGGCATCTTGTGGGTGGGATCAGGAGTGGATTTGGGGAGTTTAGGGAGGCATGGCTATGACTCTGCTCTCTGCTCACTAGTGAGCCCCTGCCCTATTTCTCTCCCGCATTTTGCGAGCACTTTGTTTCCTACATTCCTTTCATACTACCACCTCCTCTGCCTTTGACACCAACTTCTCAGCAAGTTTCCAAAAAGGTAGAGGACAGGTGAACTAAGCACCACCATTTCATCGGGAGGGAGAAGGGAGTGTGTGTGTGTTTATTGGCCAGCATCCCTGCATTTGTCGGTTTCCATCACTCTCCTCCCTTTGAAGGGAGAGAGGTGATTGCCCAGCATCCAGCCAGTTTCAGAGCTGGGCTCTCCAGCGCCCTGTCAGTTGAACATTCACAGCAGGGTTGACCTCCTTCCTTTCTGGGGCTGATCCTGCCTTGATGCTTCTCAAATCTTCCTTTATTTCCCACTCTTTTAACCTGGGAGAGACCCACATGGGGTGTGGGAAGAAGGGCAGATGCACCAGCCTACAAAAACTCCCGTTCCCCAAACTGGGGACCCACCAAATGCTTTGGGATGACATCCCCCAACAGAAGGGTTTCTCCCAAGGACAGAGTTTTAAATGGAGTTCTCTTTGTGCGACCTTCTGCTGCACTCCAAGACATGGAGAAGGATTTCTTTTCTGTGTGGAAAAAGCATCTCCAAAAGAAGACATTGTGTGATTGTTCAGCCTTTACACGTCAGTCAAGCAGTTCTCAGGGATACACACGATTGTGGGGTGGGAAAGCATCCAGTCTTGCCAGCAGAGGGACCTCCTCCTCCACCCCGTGGCCAAGTCTCGGACCTCTTGCTAGGGCTCTTCCCCTCCTCTCCTCCCAAGACCTTTGATTGTTGGGCGTTCATCCTTCCAGGGATTGCTCCACAATTGCACAGCTGCATTGATCATACTTTATACTACAGCCAAGGCCAGCCAGCAAGATGGCTTTACAATACTGAGCAATGGTAAAGAAGCCATAAACACCTCTTAAAATACATGGCTTTGTCTCAGGGAGAAATTGAAATGGCCTTAATCATTGGGCATCTGATGACCCAGTAGCAGAAGTCTGAACTGTCTCTTCATTTTTGGGACACAGAGAGATCAGAGGATGAAGTGGGGCTGAAGCTGAACATCCCACAGTCCTCATATCACACCACACATTAAAAGTAATTTCCTTAACCATGGTTTACAGGCCAGCCATGCTTGACTGAGTTCACATAGCACACTAAACCAGAACCCAGATCCATTGGCTGGGGCTCAGCATACGGTGTGAACATATCACCTTGGAAGCCACAGTTCCTCCAGCTGCCCTCATTTCATGGCGTGCACCCATACCCCATTCACGGAAGCCACTCTCACCCCCATCTTCATAAATAGCTTTTATTCTCTTGGAAGAAACCAGGCATGTTATTGATGGGCATAGTATTTTCTTTGGTTCTCAGTTCCTTCATTTACATATTCTTTATCACATATTCCTTGATGATAACCCCCTTTGTAATGAAAATTGGGCTGCTCCAGCTGATTTCCACCTGTCCAAGGCGTGGCTTGTATTGAAGTACTGGTTTCCCAGGAGGAGTGGTGCCAATGGGGTCTCCAGAGCTTCACTTGGGTCACTGAACAAACTGATGCCTTTCTTGGTCTTCACAGCACACACGAACTCAGACTTGGTTTTCATACTTAATACAGTCACTGTGAGCTTCTTCTCATTCCTTTTCAGACTTCCATCCCTCCTGCCCCAAAGCCCTGTGCAGGACTTTGTACCCAGATATCTCTTTTTTGTCAAGGTCTGTGGATTGAAATGAAACTTGAACTTTCTTGCACAAGATCTCATCCCGCACTGCAGGAGGAAGTTTGGGCAGAACATCTAATTTGGTTCCTGTTAGTTGTTGCTGTTGGTAGAGGTGGAGCACAGCTCCTGGACTCTTCTCATGTGCTGAGGTCACCACAAAGAGCGCTTGTCCCTTGGGCACAGCGCAGAAGGGAAAGTCTACAAGCAAGAGGGCAATATCTCTGACCTGAGCATCTCATGATCTTTGAACCATGGAGTGATGCTCTTAGTGTTTTCTGCTAGTCTTGGTTTGGAAGTTTCATCCAACACAGATCTGAGTTCTAAAAGACATGATTCCTCCACATTTAAGGATGTGAATGTTACATAATTATGAGATGGATCGAATGAATTTTCCATCCTCATCTTCAGAGCAGATCTTGTCTGTGCCTTTGGACAAGTTAAGGAAGAACCTCAGGAAACTGACCTCAAGATTTTGGGACCAGGAATTCACTGAGTTTTTTATTGCCAAAAGGTGACTGCTCCTGGAAAGAGTTTCATGGGACGGATTTAAATCTGGGAAGTGCACCAGTTCTTGTGCAGATTCGTCCTTTCGCAAAGCTTCCTGGGGTTCCTTAGATGAACTAGAGCAGGGAGAGGTTATTGGAATAATTGATTTCAGTGGTTTAATAGATTTTGTGTAGCTCGTCCACTGGTTGGGGTCAAAAAAGTCCAGATGGCTTTCTTGTCTTTTTTTTTTACCACACCCTACAACACACCCTGACTTTTTTGACACACCGTTTTGACAACATCTCTGAGGTCGTCGTAGCCAATGGATTGGTTATGTCTTCTCCAGTTTGGTCCTTTCCAGATGCTTAAAACAACTTCCGTCCAACTCCAGCTGCATGGCTACTGGCCTGTGTGGGGGTAGGAATGATGGGATATGTCGTTTGACAGATCTGGAGGTCCCAGATTGGGGAAGGTTGGTTTGCATAATCTGACTGTCTCATATTTTAAAATAGGGCTGCCAGGAGAGATGTTGTGTTGCTATTTGTAGCCACTGTTTTCCACTATCAGCTTTTCAATAAATAGGATTCCCGGAGTAACCCTAATCCAGTCAAAGAAATCTGGAATCTACCAGGTGAGGTCTGAAATCCTCGCTGAGATGTAATTAGTAGATATTCCGGATCCTAATCGTCCTAAGAAAACCAAGCCAAGAAGGATGATGCCCTCCGACGAAGGGCGTTTGAGAAGCTTCCGGGTCGTGTTGTATGGAAAGCGTTAGACGGACCCCGTTCTGCAGGGCTCCCAAGGGAGTTTCTCCCCTCCATCACCCTTTCCTCCTGCATAAGGCCTGCCCCATGCCGCCAAACATCATCTGGGCAGCACCTAAGCCTTTGGAGGATTCTGACCTCTCAGCTCCAGGTTTCTAGCGTGCTCCTTTAGCAGCTGGGGGGTTTGGTAAAGCAGCCAAGAGGGCTGAATGCCTGCTTGGTCCCTTGGTTTTAATTTCAGGCGAGGTTCATCATGGTCTGTCTACCTACCTGCCTACCTATTTATCTATCTATAACTTAATGGACTTACATACTTTTTGCACGTTGTTTTTACTGGTGTTACGAAGGTGGGAACGGTATGCAGCTCAGAATTTAGAAGCTCACAGCTGTCCCTGGTTCCCCAAAGCCACCCCCCACCCCCCTGGATGGCCAGGGAAAACCCCACTCCTTGCGGTTGCTTCAGGAAAGCCGCTGCGTCTCAGGTGGGAAGGCCTGGAGTAGGACCGGCCTGCCTGCCTGCCTGCCTTTGAAACCCCCCCAAGCCCTTCCAGCTGCCCTCGAGTCAAAAGCCCAGCCTGCGAGGAGCAGCATCGGCCCACCTGCGTTCTCTTGCCAGATACTCCATGAAGCCACAAAGTTGAGCTCTAATGGGGGCAGCTTCTTAACTTTTCACTTAAAAACAGAAACTAAAACCCCTTGCGACTGAAAAAAGGAGAACATTTCCCTCCAGAGCTAAATCTCACCAGTTCTATTTTCATTCATAAGGGGCAAGCAAACGCATCAGACTTTTTTTCTCTCTCTCTTTCCTGGAACCCAGCTGATGCCTTAGACCAGGGTTTCTCAACTGGGTTAGACTTTGATTCCCACGCTTCCCAGCCAGCAGGGGCTGATGGATACGGACATCTGACACATCAGAAGAGCACCAGGGCCGGAAAGGCTGGTGCCCCCTCCCTCATCTCTCCAAAGAGACCAAGCACTTGAACAGACTGCAAATTCAGTCCTAAATATAGACCTTTTGTTTTTTAATCCAGGAAGGAGGATTAAGCAAACCTGAGAGTGCAAAAGAAGTCATGTAATTATGACTGTGACGCAGGACGTGTCTAGGCTTGTTCGTATGTGTGAAAAGCGACACACAGATGTACACACACGGTCTCTACGGAAACTTAACACTTTATTGGCATTCTGGCAGATGGGCATTTGCATCCTTGAAGTCAGATTCGTTCAGGAATTCCAGGCCAAATGGGCCCACGGGCTCTACGAGTTCTTCCCACACCCACCCTCTTATTTTCAAAAACTGTATGATTTCTGGAAACCTCAAAAGCCGTTCTGCGCGCTTAGGCTGGCTTAACACGGCTATCGCCCAACTGTGGCTTCTGGACTTATGTCGGTGGCTGTCTCCAAGGACGGCTCTTTTAGGAGATGTTCCGCCTCACCTGCTGACAGCCCAGCCTGGCCTGTCGTGGAGGACCACCTCACGTCCCTAGGGTCAGGGCCCACCAAAGCTCCAGAGGCAACAGGCGCAGCTTCGGCTTCTGCCCTCCTGGCACTGAGTGGCCTCCGTCACCCTGATCCTGCTGTGGGGTTCCCTTGGGGAGAGTCCTAACTCTGGCTGCTGGAAGAGGAACCTCCGTTCGGCCGCCGTCGCACTCATATCCCACTTCCCCAACTATCCAGCCCTTCTGTGTGGCTCCCACAGCATCATAGAAGGTCAAGAAAAAATGGCTGTCACGGCCTTCCCTGAATTAATCACTGCCTTCGGTGCCACTGCCTCTGTCCAGGGAAATGCCCCCAGTGCAGGCATAGGGAGAGATGCCAAGCTTTCTGCCAACCTACTCGGGGTCCAGTACAAGTCAGGATGAGGCCATGATGTCATCACCCGAGTGATGCAAATTCTGCAACTCGCATCATTTGCATGATGACATCATGTTGTGTGTGGCGCTGTTGGCCCCCTCCCCCCGACTCCCCACGCCTTTCTGTCACCCATAAATGTTAATCAGTGGCTAGATTTACACACTTGCTAACCTGTAGTTTTGGCCATGATTGAGTTGCAACTGGATCGGTTTGCTAAACCATGTTTCAAAAGCCATGATGGGGCGCACACGACAAACTAGGCCCTGGTGTGCAGGCACAGGCCAGACGGGCCAAAGGAAGCACCTTCTGCCCGCCAGCTCCTGCAGAGGCCCTCTGCAAGCAGGGCTGCTCGCCGTAAATCCACCAGTCCGTCCCCCTCCTCTCTTCCCGCTGGAAACCGGCTACTGGGCTGTTCTTCGGTGCATGCTGCTAATTCTCAGGAGGAAAACGGCAGTGCCCTCTCTCCGCACTACTTCTTCCCCAAACTATTTGGGGACTGTACAGGGTTTTTTAGGAGGCCCCAAATGCCCCCATTTCAGGATCGAGAGTCGTTCATTTGTACAAGAGCTGCCCTGGGAGTCAGTCTTTGCAGGCTTTAGCTTTGACTACCTGCATGTCGGAGAGCGCTATGGCGTGGATCAGGTCCTCCAGCTGGTAGAATGTGTGGAATGTGGCTGGCCACGCTGAATGGCCCTCCAGGTAGCGCCTCAGCTTAGCCAAACTCTCCAGGACTTCGGCCTTCGAGGGGCAGGAGAACGAGAGCGGTTCCTCCTTTTCTTCCTTGCCTTCTGCTCTCGCAGAGGGGGGCTCCTGATGCTGCTGGACCCCCTTCGTTGCTTCGGCACCCTCCTGGTCCCCAAAACACTCCAGCCCTTCGTCCATCAACACAAACCGCTCAAACTGGTCTTGGTCCTTGCAGCCCAGGGCTTGGACAACCTCCAGCGGAGGGGTTAGGATGCGGGGATTCACGCTGAAACCCGCAGCTTTGAAAGAGTTTGCTATGGTCTGCGGACACACCTCGGACCAAGCTTGGACGACCAGGTGGACGGCATCCGGCAGGGTTAGGTACCTGGAGAATCTGCTGATTGGGGCGGAGCCTCTGCTGTTGCACCTGACCAGGAGATGGGTCAGCAGCCTCCTCCGGTAGTGGCACTTAAAATTCTGGATGACCCCTTGCTCCAAGGGACGCAGCCAGGACAGGTGGGGGGGCATGAAAACCATCTGGATGTTAGACAGCTCGGTGTGGGGATGCACGCTGCACTGAGTTAAGAAAAGCACCACCCGCCTCTCCTTCTGCTTCATCTCTTCGTTCAACCTCTGAAGCCAGTGGGTGAAGATGGCGGCGGTCATCCAGGCCTTACTGTTGGCCCTGTAGGTTGCGGAAGGCAACTCCTGGAGGCCGCCTGCCTGGAAGCCGAACAGCCTGGCCGCCTTGCCCACAACCAGCACGTCCCTTTTATCCGAGCCATCCATGTTGGTGCAGAGCAAGACGGTGAGCTGGTCACTGGCTTCCTTACTCCTCCGCGGCGCCAGGTCTTCTGGGGTTGCTCTAAATAGCATGCCTGTTTCCCCACAAGCATAGACATCGGGAAGGTCATACTGGCTGAGGACACAGGGCAGGGTGGTACTTTCCCAGCGGCTCTCTTCCTCCTCCTCTTCCTCCTCCAACAGCTCCCTGCTCCATTTCTCCAGAAGGGGCCTCGCGGGCGCTGCTTTCGGCTTTGCTTGGGAGCCGTTTCGCCAACGAAGGCTGGTCTCTAGGCCCGGCTCCCCTGCAAGGCTGGCCTTCTCTTGCCAATGCCTCCCCTCGGAGGGGAAGGTGTGCCCGCAGCTCCGCTCAAACCACTGCAAGAAAGCTTGGTCGCCGGCTGGGCCCTTCTCCTCCAGTTTGCGTTTGCGTCCCGGGTTGGCATTTTTACCCCACTCTGCCAGGATGCGCTCTTTGTTCTTGATAATGCGACAAATCTGGGGCTGGGAGACCCCAAATCTTTTTGCCAGCTCGCTCTGGGACACCTTGGGTCCTTCTAGCATCTCCAGCACTCGGACCTTCTCCTGCAGAGACAGCTCCTTTCGCTCCTTCCTTTGCACGACAGCTTCGCCGGGCAAGGGCAGCCCCCTTCTCCTGCTCCCGGCGGGGCTGAAGGCGTTCCCTGCAGCACACGCTCCCTGTCCTGCAGCAAGGGCCACGTGCTCCATGAAGCCCCTCCCGCAATCGCTGCAGATGTAGGAACTCTGCCCGGTGTGCTTGGACTGGTGCATTTCTAGCTCTGACTTCTGGTCAAAGTTCTTCCCGCATTCCAGGCACCAGTGGGGCATCTCTCCCAGCTGGGGTCTGCAAGCCCGAACAGCAGGTCCCGCTCGGCAGTCCAATAGCAAGACCTCCTCGCCCGCTGCTCCAGAGCCCGGCTGCAAGGACTCTGCACCGCTCGGTTTTCGCACAGCCTGAGGGAGCCCATTTGCACCACTTTTCCCAGGGAGACTGGTGGCAGCAGCTTCCAGCCGGTTAAGATGCATCTCCAGTCTGTCTTCCTCCTCCTCCTGCTTAACAGTTTTTGGCTGCCAGCTCTCTCCTGGGGGAAAAAGTGCAGGGGAAGGTTAATCCAGCGTCCTTCCAAGAGCGGGTAACGTCAAAGCCTTCTCAGACTGAATAATAATCTCTGGGGTAACTCAGGCAGGAGAACTGCGCCCAGGAATGGAACCTGGGAACTGAGCCAGAGATGCTTGTACGGGTGGGGGTCTGTAAAAGAGATGGAAGTCATTTTTCAAGCAAAGTAGCACGTTTATTGAAAGGGTTTAACCCCCTCTTTTCCTCAGGGCCGATGCAAAATCCCGCATGCTTCAAGGTGATATAAATAAAGTATGAAGGCCCATTCAGACATATGGAACAAGGAAATGCTTGGGATGGAGTGAGGGGTTGCTTCTCTTTCGTAAGTTGTGAATTAACTGCAGTTTGACATTTCTCTGACTCTCAAGATGTAGAAAGTTAGAACTTTACAAGGGTGTCCTCAGGGTGTGGTCAAAAAAGGTCCAGATGGTGGCCATGACTGTGCCATCGAAGCTCTGCCTGTTTTTCATGTCCAGAGCTTCGATTGCCACCATCTTGACTTTCTTGGCGCCTCTAACTACAGCGGTGTCCACGGGTGTCCGCAGGGAGGTTCAAAAAGGCTAAGAAGGAGCCACTAACCATGCAATTGAAGCCCCGCCCCTTTTTACCTGCATTGCTTCGATCACAGAGTGGTTTGACCCCTCCCCCACTGGTTGTGCCCAGGCTTGGATTGCTTAGCACCCACAACTCCTTTCCCAAGCCTTTTTGACAGAGCCTAACGCTGGCCACGGCTGGCAATACGGACTGACCACCTCTCCCTGAGCAGAGGGTGGAGCCTGCCTGGGGACACGCCGTGTCCTCTCCCACACCTTATGTGGAACTTGGGGGTGACTCTAACAAACAGGAGAAAATGCAAGACACTGCTCCAAAACCGAACCACATCTCTAGACCAAAAAAATGTACTTTGTAATAGGCAAGTGTCTGTCTGCAAACCATCGGCAGGGGTGTAAAAAGAAAAAGTAATTTTGGGGGGAAACCTGCTTGGAGACCCACCAACACCTTGGTAAGTGCAGTTCTTCTGGTCCCGATCCTTTTCCTTCATCATCCCTGCTGGCCTGGCAGAAGCATTGCCAAGGATCTTCTCTCGCACCTTCCAGGGGCAGGATACCAGGGGCTGCCGGGGGCTGAACAGACCTGGAGGCAACCGAAGGAGGACACCCTCAGCTTTAGACTCACCTCTCCCCTTCCTGGCAGAGGGGAGCATATGAAGATGCACCCAGGCTGTATCCCTTGATGCCCTTATATATTGCTTTTTCCACGTATAGCATCTCAGAACATGTCATAGCAGAATAATAAAACCACCATATAGGGTAATAGAAAGATTGTAATGGGACCTAATGGGTGGAGGGGGAGGGAATCAGCATTAGTGATGGTTTTTCAAAAAACAGGTAGCAGGCCAGTGTTGCAGCCTGATACACCCTGGGACTGCGAAGTCCTGCCAAAGGACAGGAAAATCCTGCCACCCACTGCCAACCTGTTGTTGATCCACAGCATGACGGTGTCTGCCTGCACCACAGAATGTTGAGATGGGCACACGGCTGCCTCCAGGCCCCACATGGCTGGCGAACTGAGAATTAAAGGGGAGGGGGCAAAGTCTTTTATTTCTCCTGGTTCTTTCAGAAGACTGCAATCTGAATATGAGTCAGCAGTGCAATGTGGCTGCAAGAAAACCGAGCGACGCTCTGCATCGACAGCAATGCAATTCGTAAATCACAGGAAGGGATTGCTCCATGCAGCTCTGTCTTGGTTAGAGCCCGCCCCCCTTTGAGGTCTGTGTCCTGTTTGGGGCACCACACTTTGGGAAAGATCGGCAAAGGTTCAAGGAAAAGCAGAGAGCATGATCAGCGGACAGGGAGGGCAGCCCCATGAAGGCTGAGACCGGTTCTCCCTCTTCCCAGAGTTCATGATGCAGAATACTGGATGTAAGTTACCAGAAGTTATTTGGGGGGAGGACTTAAAGTCCCCTCATCCCACTGTATTGGCTGGAGAGAATGGGCACCATAGTCCGGCCTATCCAGGAGGCCCCTGGATGCAGACCGCTCACCCCACTGTTCATTCCCTCTCCCACACCCTGGGCAGAAGTTGGTTGGGCTCCAGGATGGTGGAGGGAATGCACTCTGCACATGCTTCCTCCTCTACCGCATTGCAGCAGCCTCGGAAGCAGTTCAGAGACTCAGCTCCGCCTGCCTCCTGCTGAGAGCTCACCTGAAGTTTATCCGGGCTTACGGGGTGCCACCTCACCTGAGCCCGGCCCTGCCTGGGCACGGATGCTTTGGCTCTTCCGTGGTCGGGACCCCTCGCCGCCTGGGGGGCCAGGCCTGGCCTGGCCGGGCCTGGCCTGCTTCCTCCTCCCCTCCAGCTGGGAGCTGTCCCGCTGGTTCTCACAGTGCCCGCCCGGCGGCTTCAGAGGATGCAGGAGAGCGAGAGATGGAGGAGGAAGGATGCTGGAAGCAGAGCATCGTGCGGTGGGGAGGGAGACCCCCACGCTGCCCCTCTGGCGTGGCTGAGCAGCCAGAAGGCAGGGGCGCTGAGGCCATGGCGAGGCTTGGCCCCCTTCACCCGCCTGCCATGCCCCCTCCCCTTGCCTTGCCCGTTCTCTGCCCGCCTAGGTTCCCGTCTCCGATTGGCGCTGCGTTCCTCTGTAGGATCTCTCCTTGCCCTGGATTGGACGGGGAACCCTCCAATAGGCAGGGCAGTGAGACAATGGTCCATTG